CTCTCGCCCGAACCTCGTTTTTGACATAAAGTAACATAGTCAGTATTATGCCAGATCTTGTCAGCCCCATGCTCTGTAATGTTCTCTTATTCTCTCATGCCCCAAGCGCTAAGATGCTGCACCCCATAGACCATATGGTGGTTCACCCTCAGCCAGTGTGTATGTGCACTCCATCCCCACTCACAAACAAGTGTTCATTCGATAGGCCGTCAGTGGCCAAGCCTCACTGAGCACTACATATGTGTGCTTCTGCTACTGAAGCATAAGTCTAGTAGTACCCAAGACTGGAAGGGTTAACCAGGCGTAACAAGCGATATTCATCCCCACAAACATCTAACTGAGGTAGCTGTGGTCGCAGGTCAAAGTAACCATTCCACACAGATATAATAAATCCATGATTCGATAATTAGAGGCTGCACAGGTGACAGTGTAAGATAGTAGACCATGACCCGCCGGTGAGACCGAACGGACTGGCTCTACTATCCTTGTCCCGCATTAACAACAGCGCGCATGACTTAGCTCTCGAGAGCCGGTACGTAGTAGCAGCGAGGTTGAGGTAATATCTGCTGGTCCGGCCCGAAGGTTGTGGCAATAATCAATAGGGTGTCGACAATGACAGTAACGACATCGTTGGTGGTGACGTGAAGGTTAGAGGAGATGATGACAATGATATTGACAGCAGTGAGCGGCGATGAAGCGCACGACAGCAGCCTGAGTGATGACGAGATCGGGATGTATATATACTCTTTCACACGTCCTTGCACCTACTACTATAGTTCAAATTTACCTACCTGTATCATCCAATTGACACCAGAGTCCCGGAATCATTGAAGAAAGCGGTATAAAACCAGACACCGTTTGTAAACTGATTCCAACAAAAAATACTAATACACGAGCGATCACTGAATCAAAAGGTCCATATCCTTTTCGTGTCTAAAGTCAACAAAAATAGGGAGACAGCGGAAAGAAAGGAATACTCCAGGTGTCCGAGTCCTACGTACTTCCGTCAATAATTTCTTCTTTACCAGCAGCCGTGCACTGATAAAATTACCGACGGTGACAATGGTTGCTGCGAGAGAGTTTACCACCTTCCGGCGAGCCGGCCGCCAGCCCACACGAGTCCTCCGCCTCCGACGGGCAGCAGTAGCATCCAAACGCCAATATCCCAGAACAACCTCCTTGTGAACCGTCGGCGCTGTAACGTACGTTCTTTCCGCTGGAGGAGCTCGTCGTTATGCGAATCGCTGCGCTGGAGAGTCCCACCTGGTCGAGGAGTAGTGGGTGGCATGACGATGGAGAGGGGACGGCGGAAGTTGTGGATGATGATGTGTAGTAGAGCTGAAGGGAAGGTAAGTGGAGGAAGATGACAAGAGTGAGAAAGCAGCTTACCTGGTATGGTGAACGTGCCCAAGAACGCCAGTATAATCAGTATGTCACTGGCAAGACGGACGAGCGGCGCTGGTAGTAACGCAATTGACAGCGACAGTATGAGGAGCACAACGCGTGAGACAAGTAGGTGGTTCACATGTCTTCGGAACGACAATGGAACAGGGATTGCGGGAGCGGTGACCAGCACAGAGGGAATCCCAAGTGCTAGCGTGAGGGTACTCAAGAGACCCATGAGACACTTGAATGCGATTGGCGAAAGAACAATCGAGGGCATGAGACTCTTGAATGGCTCGTCCTGCGAAAGTGCAGTGCGAAACTGCCGAGTCAGTGCAAGTCTGTCGCTGTTGCTTGAATGGAGCGGGAAAGCTCACTCACCGGAGAAGCCACCATCGAGCTGAATATCGTGGGCGGTAGTATGAGCCCCGTGGCGAGAACAATTGAGCTTAGGGAAAGCAAACTGAAAGATCGCGAGCGCTTCGTAGTAGCTCCGCCAAGGCCACTACGGGAACTGCGAAGAGCAGAGTACAACGGCAGGGTAGACGAGGTCGCGAACGTGAATGCGACGATGCCTAGTACATAACGACAACTTGAGCTTTAGCGTATATATTGAAGAGAATTAATTACTGATTCCCTGCCAGAGGGTCCCAAGCGACCCTCCTACACCGCTATCGCTCTGCGCGAGAACAGATATGCCTTTGGCATGAGCGTATGCCGTGCCGGCGGTCCAGGCGACAAATGTTGCTACAGATGTCCAGGTCGCGTAAATTACAGTAGACGCGCCGAGCGAGGTTGCTGGCGAGACTGAAAGTGGTAGCACAATGACTGTTGAGACGAGAGTCACGACAACTCGAGATGGAAGGATCGAAAGGAGGTTGGAGGGGAGTGCAGGGATTATGGCATCTGTCGAAGCTGCACAATAATGATGTATAAGCCATATGCGCACGGGGGCGATATGATAGTGCACTGACCTCTGAGGTATAGAGCTATGACCAGCACACGGAGGAGTCCAGTGTTGAAGCGGACTATACGAACGATCCAGCGTCTCTTCCTCTCTCCTTCCCTGCCCCTGCCTGCTCGCCTCGCAAATGTCTGCAACACGATTTCCTCCATGTCCGGCCTCCTGACGTAGCGCGCCAGCATGTACCATATTTGCCTGGTAAGTGCGCAGAGGGTCGCGAAGAAGAACAATGCCGGCAGGGACTCCCTGAGGCCTTGCCCACCGGATAGAGGGGAGAGTAGAGCACCGAGCTTGAGAAGCGGGGATAAGAGGTAGAGGAAGACGGCCAAGGAGGATAGCGATGGCCCAGAAGGATATGTGCGGCCTGCATCCCTGCCGTCGTAATTTTCTTGCAGTTCGCCGTCCTGCGAGTCGTCGTCGCTGCTAGACATGATATCAAATGGAGCAGGATCTTCAGCATCTATGTCATCTTGGTCATTGTGCTCCGGTACAAGTATGAGGGCAGTGGAAGAATCGTGGTCGTGGATGCCTGAGAGGGAATCAACTGAGGCTCTGGGACTTAAGCTCGTAGGAGGGGGTGTTGAAGCAGACATGGTAGCGGTACAGTGTAGTAAAGAATGGAGCAGTAGTAGATGCGAAAGGAGAGACTGGTACAGGACGAATAATCCGCCTGCGGAGGTCGGAGGATAAGCGCAAGCCTGTCAATATGAACCTGGTATGAGACGGTTCAACAGCGGGGAGCGCCTGTCAATTGTTACTGCATTGCACCCTATTGCTAGCATTTGCGCTGAATTGTAGCCTACAACCTAGCCTGTTAGCTACGTAGCAATAAATTCTATTCCTACAACATAAAGACTAGGGGGCCGACCGCGGATTTGCAGAATATCCAAAGTCGATATCTAAAGGGGACCTTATCGTTGACGACAATACTGTATGATTACATAATCAGTCATTCACATCATCCATGATACATTCACGGTTGCTCATTACCTATCGCCAAACAAGCCCGCCACCCACAATGTGCCCCGCTGGTCGCCCACCTCACATTCCGCACTTACAGATCCCAACCCCAGTGCTCGCCTCTATCTCGCTCTCTCGATTGTCCACCATAGGCGAAAACTATCGTGGCCGTGAAGCCTTCAACCGCCAGGGTAAGGCGGGGAGAGGCCTGAGGTGAATGACTTTCCGGGCGGTCCTCTACTCACATCGAAGAACGTTCCTATGGTCATCATTGTGCACAGCTCTGTTGTACTCTTTGACGGACGATTACTCCTTTTTGGTGGCCATTCACAGCGGGAGGACCTCATGACACCACTCACTACGGTGTGGCCGCTGGATACGCTGTTGGAGTTTCTCCTTAGTATCGACCGGCGGCTCACGCGGAACGTGAGCCTTCCGGCCAAAGTATTGCAAAGTGCCTCCGCAGAAACAGTTCTCCTGTTAGTTGTATCGCGACTGCGCAGAGCATGTATTGTTCGAATGATTAAGATACGAGGATTATCGATAATCTACTCTGTCTTGGCTTCTTTAGGATCGTTGCCGCTCTGCAAGCCGTCAGTTTCGTCAGTACGTCGTCTTAACTCCAAGCACCACGAAACGTTTGACTGACCTTTGCCTGCCTGCGAGCATCGCCAATATCCGAGGGACCAGAATCCTCCTTCGACTGCAAAGTGCCAGACGTGTCCTTCTCGCTCGAGGGTTTCTCGCTCTGCACATGCCCGCTCTCGGGGGATTCGGCTTTTTCGGAGATAGCCTTGTCGCCGCTGGCTGCGCCGCCAGTTTCTTTTTGTTCGCCGGCTTCAAAAGCGTAGGCATCCTTGGGCGAGTCGTTGTCCTATGCGATGCGTCAGCACGGAGATATGTGTTTGATGTTGGTTGAGCATGGAGGAATGGTACGCACGACGCTTTTGTTGATAGAGTCCGCGACTTCGTCGCTGGAAGCAGTATTTCCTTCGTCATCTGTAATTACAGATGGCTCAGGGCTGGGCTCCGCCTTTGATCCATGTTTCAGGCTAATTCTCGTGTGGTCACGGAGCAGACGACTCACGGGAGCGTGTTCCTGCGGGGGAGGGGTGGCAGGAACAGGAGCGTTCTCAGGTTCGGAAGCCTTGTGCTTGGGTAGTGAGTGTTGCTGTGCATCGTGCGCCTTGCTCTGAGCGGATGGTGAGAGGAGATATGCCGCCTATTATACGTGTTTACAAAGCGGGTCAACATCATTATTACCGTGTTCGTCAACTGAACCAAGGTGGGCTACGTACCGCAGGTCCAAAGATTAGGGCTGAGCCAATCTAGCGCAACACAAACCGCATGAGTATCAAGGTGCAGTCGCGTTCCTAGTTATACTGACTATCCATATCCTGTCGCTACCCTGCGTACCATGAGAACTGCTGCTCATTGCTCGACGAGGTGCTTGTCGCGCACCAACGCGTGCGGAGGGGATAGCAAGGCGACCGAACGATGTGCGGGACAGTCTGAAGGCCATGTTAAATACGTTGGTGTGAGGGAAGAGGGTTTACTATGGCAAGAGTAAGCAAGAGTGTGACAGCGCTGGCAGATGTTGCGGAATGAACCGCTTGCAAATGACGTCGAATAATGGGTTATTTGTGTGATCCTGCGTGCAGATCATCATAGTTGTCTTTGTATTGTAGGACATGCCCGCCTAGCTCAATCGGATAGAGCGTCAGACTTTTACGATTGTTTGATCCATGGCGGTGATTGCGTAATCTGAAGGCTGCGGGTTCGACCCCCGCGGTGGGCTAGTTGTTTTTTCTACCCCTACCTACGTTTCATGATTTGTTGCAGCGCTGTTGTCTTAAAGAGCTACGCTGCAAATAATGCTCTAGCCAGTTAGGTATTACAATGCAGCATCTATGTTCCTAGCAAAGCTGATTCTTACCACAATCTGCTAGTATGGGTGATAACAGCTCCATGAACCCTCAGGCACAAGCAGACAACAGCAGTTTCTTTGATATGACTGCTGCTAATGAAAGTCTGTGTCACTCCCTTTGCTGTGTATAATCTAATGATTGCCCACAGCTTGTGACCCCCTAGCTATGGGCCTATCATGGCCCAAGGGTTACAAGGAGGAGAGAGAGCAGGGTCAGAAACACCACTTCTGCCAGTACATCTGCCTGAGCTGACTTTCATATGTGTGTGTGCACTAGCTTTGACTTGCCAAGTGACGGCAATCTTAGCTTTGGTCTCAATGACGGTACAGCTCAGCATGGGTGCACCTGTAGCTGCAGGTATACAAGGGAATCAATCCCCTACCCTGCACCTGTGCAGATTCAATAGTTCCAGGTACCTAGACCTGCAAGTGCAAGTACCTGCTGCCTACAGGTTAATTTGCAGGTCAATCATCACTTAACAAAGTCTCTTCACATATTCTTAATAGTATAGTGTCATGCATTGTTCTGGTCCTACCTGTCAAGCTGTGGTACCTGTTAAGCTGTCAACAGATATGTTGTGATGTGAGAGGCGTTCGAGCGCACGAGAGATAGCAAGAGCAAATGAATATTTTGACAACCAATTACAGGGTTTTTATAAGTACATAGAAAAGAGGATAAGATAAAATAAGCAAGAAAGAAATGGACGGATGCGCGGATTGAAGTGGAGAGGGATATTACAAATACAGAAATACCGATGAGGAACTAAAACAGAATAGATGAATATATACACGGGAATAAAGGAATCAGTCGGGATGTTGGGATTTCCATATATGGAAGCCATGGTGTGTCATACATTACAACACTCCCCCTCAACGAGTGGCGAGATTGATGAGCGCAAGTTGCTCAGAATGTTTCATGCGTGAAAGCGCCTTGGTGAAAATATCGGCGCAGTTATTGTTTGAACTGCAGTGAGAGACGAGAATAGTTCCGTTAAGAATTTGTTCACGAACAAAGTGATGGCAAATATCAATATGCTTCAATCAGGAATGGAATTGATGGTCGTGAGCGAATGAAATAGTGGCGAGATTGTTGGTGGCGAGAGTGGTAGGTCCAGTAGGCGCAAAACCGAGTTCTGTGAGAATTTCCCTGAGTCAAATAGTCTCCTGTGCCATGTGTGCAAGTGCTACGTATTCCGCCTCCATAGTTGAGAGAGCAACTGTGCTCTGCTTCTTTGAACTCCAACTAACCATGCCTCCTCCTAGGAGCAAAGCATATCCAGATATCGATCGTTGGTCGATGCGGTTCTGGCCCCAGTCGGCGTTGCTGAATCCTGAAATGGTTAGATTGGGAGTTGCTCCGTATGAGATCACTAATTCTTGGGTCTCTTTGAGGTAACGGAGCACGTGTTTTGCCGCAGTCTAATGGGCAGCGGTATGTGCCAAATTGAATTGGCTAAGGGCTTGGACGGCAAAAGCAATGTCAGGCCGAGTGCCGACAGCGGCATACATGAGAGAGCCAATTACGGCTTGGTAAGAAATGTCTTCTACGAGTTCTTCATCCGTGGTGGCGGGAATAAGCGTAACGTTGACGTCAAGAGGTGTGGACACGGAATTACAGGATTTCATGCCAAATCGAGCAAGAATGATGTCAATGTATCGGGTTTGTGAAATTGAAATCATGCCTTTGTCTCGTAGGCGAGCGATCTGTATTCCAACGTAAAGTATGGCTTCTCCGAGATCCGTGATGTCGAAGTAGCGTTTGAGATCGTCTTTCAAGGTATTGATAGCCTTTAAATCAGATGACGCCACAAGACAGTTGTCAACATGAGTACCAATGAGCGTAAAATTGTATTTGTTTCCGCAATAATAGAGATACGGATCAGCTTGAGAGCGCGTGAATCTGAGGGCTTCAAGTAAAACGCGATCGAGTTCTGCGCGCCAGGCACGGCCAGCCTGCTTGAGTCCATAGAGCGCCTTGTGCAGGCGATATACACGCGGCGAACTATCTTCATAGCCGGGCGCTTGCTTCATGTAGATGTCCTCCTGGAGTGGGGAGTTTAGATATGCCCCAACGACGTCAACCTGATGGAGTTCAAGATCGAGATGAGCAACAATTGAGATGATGGTGTGGAAAGTCTCAAGTCAAATGACAGGGGCATGAGTTGCAAAGAAATCTTGACCGGGGATCTAGAAAAACCCTGCGCAACAAGGCGTGCCTTGTACTTGAGAATGTTGCCGTTTGCGTCGCGTTTAACGGTGAATACCCATTGGCATCCGACGGCCTTGCGATTGGCAGGAAGATCTGCCATTGAATAAGTGCCTAGTCTATCCAATTGTGCCATTTCTTTGTCCATAGCCTCTTTCCAAAGAGGCCAGTCATCGCGCTTCCTAACTTCGTCAAATGACTGAGGCAAATCTGAAGTGTCAACGATGAAACACATATTTGCGTCCATTTCGACGGACGGTATCTCTGAGACTGATGGCAACTCCCCCTGATCCGACAGTTCGGATACAGGTACAGTGGTAACCTTCAACTTGGGCTTGGCAGTCAGTGATAAAAGGGTCTTCTGTGGGCCATCATTGAGTTTCAAGTAGTCAAGCCGGGGTTTGTCACGAAGAGAGCGGGTAGGAGCCACTTCATTCTTGGTTTGAATAGGAACTGTGGGTGACTGTGTGGATTTCTCCCCCTCAAGATTGACAGTGGTTTAAACAATCAGCGCCGTGAGTTCATCAGAGCGCAGAAAAATAACCTCACGCAATGTAAGAATTTTCCGAGATTCAGGTACCAAGTACCTAAATCCTTTGGTCCCCCCTTCTTTAATTCCGACAAAGGTTCGTTTGATGAATCGCGTGTTGAGCTTTGACAAAGATACGTTTACACGTACCCAACATTCTGTACCAAATTTGTGTATGTTGCTCACGTCTGGTTTCTTCTTCCAGAGTGCTTCGAATGGAGTCGAATGCGGTAATGCGTGCGTTGGTGATCTATTCTTGACATAAGCGGCGTAAGAGATTGCTTCCTCTCATAGATATTTCGGAAGCCGGTGCGAAATTAGCATAGCGCGCGCATGTTCGACCAGAGTTCGGTTAAGTCGCTCTGATACACCATTGTATTCAGAAGTGTACAACGTTGTGGGCTCTAATCTGATGCCATGCCTATCAGTGTATGATTTCATTTTTCCTTGGACGTACTCCTTTGCATTGTCGACACGCAAGGATTTGATGCGGCAACCTAATTGGTTCTCAATGAACGTGTCAAGTTCCTTGAGTTTCTGTTTGGCTTCGTCCCGATCTTTCATGAATTGAACCCAGACTAAACGTGATGTTCCGTCTGTAAATGAGATCATATAGGAAAGACCCGCAATGGAGTTCGTAGTTGCTGGTCCCCAGATATTGGAAAAGATGATCTCCCCAATTTGCGAGATCTTGCATAAAGTCTGGAGGGGAATTGATGCGCGAGTGTGTTTCGCAGCGATGCATGCTTCGCAAACAAAATCATCATCTGACGTAGTATCAACATTCATACCTGATACTAGACCATTGCCATGCATCTCCTTCAGCTGTCCCTTATTGATGTGTCCAAGGGCACAATGCCATTCATACCAGGAGCAATTGAAGCGAGCAATCATTGAAATTGTGTCGACGGATTTGACGGCCATTCGGTAAAGGTTACCGGATTTGGTTCCATGTCGGATCACCTTCTCTTCATTTTTGATAAACAGTTCCATCCCTTTGCCTTTGTATGAGAGGCCTGCGCTAGTGAGTCTTCCTAAGGAAATGAGATTAAATCTCATTGATGGCGCGTATAACGCGTCCTTGAGTATGACCGGAATGGTTTCTTGCTTTGTGATGAACACAATTCGCACATTGCCGTGTCCAAGGCTTGAGCAGTCGCCAACACCGTGGATAGAACTTTTGATGGGGAAAAGTAATGAATAGAGATCTATCATTGATGATGTGCGAAGAAGTTCCGGAGTCGCCAAGCCAAGTGCCGGTAGGTGCAGCGGAAGCATTCTCTGTAGCCGGGAAAGCGTATTCCTCGCGCTCGGTGTTGCTATTGCCGTTTTTCTCTCCTTCGGCGATGTGAGTGTATGATCTCTTGTTTTTGTTTTTGTCCTTTCCTTTCCTTCGCTTGCCCTTCCTTCTTACCATCTTCCTTATTCTTTCCACCACTCTGACATTCAGGTTTGATATGTCCTTCTTTTCCGCAGCCGTGGCAGAATACTCTGGCGCAAAACTTTGATCTTTGATGTTGGGTATGTGCATATAGACTAGTCTCGGCTGTAGTGCGTTCCTTTTGGCGATTGTCTTCTTGTAGAATACGACCAATAATGTTGGCTGATGTCAGAGTGTTGTCAAGTGAGATTGATGAGATCAGAGGGTCCCAGGAGTGTGGTAGCGCCGTAAGAATGATGGAGGCTAACTCGTTGTCAGAGATCTTCGGCGATTGTACAAGATTGATCTCCTGCCAAAGTCCTTTGATCTTGCGCAGTTCTTCACCAAGGTTGCCCTCCTCAGGGATCTGGTAACCAAGAAAACGGCGACGTAAAACAATAAGAGCAATGGCACCTTCATTATTGAAAACATTGGAAAGGGTGTCGAAGGCATCCTTCAAAGTACTGGCGGAAATCACATGCACCATCATTGAATTTGAAATGCAGAGTCGGATGGTTGTAAGTGCCTTCCAATCCTTCTTGGTCCACTCAGCAGCTTGGACTGCATCAGCGGGTTTGGTGGTGTTGCCTGAAGTGTATTCCCACAGCCCCATGTCCATGAGAATGTCTGTAATCTGGACGCGCCAAGTAATATAATTCTCGGCTCCCTTCAGCGGTTCAATACAATAGCTGCCCGACATTTCGGAAGCTGCGGCA